CAGAGGTAGGTAGTTATAATAGAAACATCTCTACTAGGTAGCATTTAAACAGTTTTTATCAGGTATCAAGTACTTTACAGACAACGACACCAATTATCTCATTTAAGCTTCGCATTATTCCCATTTCGCAGATGGGAAACTGAGGTTTGAGGTTGGCAAGTAATCAACATACGGTCACAGGACTAGTAACCTGGGCCGGCAGTCTCACTCCAGCGCCCGCCTTCTACCGTCTTTCTCCCTGCTCCCTCATCTCTCTGCGATATCACCTTAACAATTTTCTCCCTAGTCCTGCTGGAGGCCGAGGAAGGTCCGCACCGCCGCCCTCCAGGCAGAGCAAAGGCCGCGCACCCAGGCGTGCGCACCTACTGGGGACAGGAACAGACGTGTAGACCTGTGCGTGCACGTGCAACACCCATATCGGAGTGCATAAGGGCCCCAGCCGCCTGAGCAGAGAGTCCTCCGCCCCGCTGCACCCGAAAGCCCCCACAGGCACCATCGTGCCCGCTGTCCCAGCGGAGACGTTGCAGCGCCCAGCCCGGCATTACCCAGTTGCGGGCCCGGAACGTCCGCACGCAAAGCGAGCCCAGCGCGCCCCTGCCGCCGTACACCACCACCCGGCGCGCTTCACCCGCAGCCGCCGCCGCCATCCTGCTCCTCCCGCGCGGCTCCCGCAGTTCCAAGTGCCCCGACCCCTAGCGCAGCGCTCCGCCCCGGCCACCGACCCCGCCAAGAGGGACCGCGCGACTGCCGCGCCCCGCTCGGTGCCCTCTGCTGCCGCCTAGCGCGCGGCCACGCACCAAGCACCTCCACCCCGGGACTGGACCCTAGGCCGCGCCCCGCCCACTGCCCCACCCTGGGGGCGGTGATGTGGGGAAGCCCCGCCCTCCCGCTTGCAGGTAGCAAGGAGCTGGGCACCCGGGCAGGCAACGCTGGGGAGCTGGTGTGTGCGAGCGGAGAGGAGCCTAAAATACATACAGTTTTCCTCTAAATAAGAGGGAGGGCTCTGAAGCCCAACTTCCTGTACTAGCTGGGTGGTCCCAGCAACATCCTCGACTGCTCCGTGTCTCAGTTTCCTCTCCATTAAAATGGGAATAATAATGGTCTGTCCTCATAGGGTTTGGGGAAGGATTGTAGGAGATAGTAGGGAATTTAGAGCAATGCGTGGCTAAGTACATCTAAGTATAACAAAAGCCAAGTGATTATTATTAGTGTTATTGTTTTCCCCACTACTTATGTCACAATTCACCGAGCCTCTTACATATTGTGAGTTCCAGGTCGCTTTCATTTTGGCAGGTAAGGAATATTTAAATCTCTATTTTGGAGCATATTTAAAAATAAATTGCCGGCTCGGCACCCGTAGCACAAGGGTTACGGCACCAGTCACATATACCGAGACTGGTGGGTTCGAACCCAGCGTCACCAGCTAAACAACAATGACAACTGCAACAACAGTAACAAAAAATAGCTGGGCATTGTGGCAGGCACCTGTAGTCCCAGCTACTTGAGAGGCTGAGGCAAGAGAATCGCTTAAGCCCAAGAGTTTGAGGTTGCTGTGCTGAGGGTGACAAAGTGAGACTCTGTCTCAAAAGAAAAAAATTGCCAAAACAGTAACACAAAAATTGTAATATGCTATATTTTGAATGTTTACACTTTGAAAATCCACTTTTTTTTTTTTTTTTTTTTTTTGTTGTTTTTTGGCGGGGGCTGGGTTTGAACCTACCACCCTCGGTATATGGGGCCGGCGCCCTACTCCTTGAGCCACAGGCCCCACCCTTATCTTCTTTTTTCTTGACATGAATGTCTTAGATTGAAATGGATC